CCCCCCCCCCCCCGAGTTCAACACGACAAATACTGAATAATACATACACCCACGGCGTGGGTTACGCGCAGCGCCGCAGGGAAAGCCGGAGCCGCCGGAGAAGCTTTGATGCTAAAATGTTGGGTAGGATGAGAGACATATCATGGGCCCCAAGAACAAAATGCACGTGGGTTTTAGTGGTCAGATGTGTCCACTCTCTCTGCTTGCTACATTGTGGGGATGATGGTGCTGTGGAACATCGTGTCCCCTAAAATCCACTCCGGGCTTCCTTCAGTGCTGCTCGCTGATACGTGTCTTAGGGGTCTTTCACCCAAACAGCTCCTTCCCACCTGCCACCACCCCTGAAGCTCTTGCTTCATGTTTTAGGTAACTAGAAAGAGGTCCAAGGTAGAGTAATAAGTTAACTTTATTTGATGTAAGAATCAGGTATTTATTAAAACTTGTTAACCATTAGAAGGTAAATAGGTAAAGTAGCATCCTCTAAAAGTCAAAACAACTCCATGATTTGATAATTCTAAAAACAATTGTAATTTTTAAAAACATTACAGTGAATTCTCTGGAATAATAGCGAAAAAGTTAGTTTTTCTCATGAATTTTAGATCTTGGTTCCACTAAATACAGTTGCACATAGATGTGTGTGGAACAGACTCAGAACCTTCATTTTGATTGTCTGAAATCTGCGATCGGGGTCATTTTTGCAGTCAACTGAAGCTGTCTGCATCAGATTTTGCGCTTCCTGTTCAGTAGTTTCACATTTCCACATGCAGATAAAGAGGTCTAAATTATTCAAACTTGTAGTTTTTGAGATCTGCAAAAGACATCTCTACAGGTCTCTTCTTTATATGAACGTTTTTCATTTGTAACTATGAGTTTGTTCGGGCTTCCTGTCTGTTAATCGCAGTTTCAAAGCATTGTTTCAGTGGAGGACTAGAGCAAAACCATGGGTCTTTACCCACACTGTGTTAGAACACAATAATTCCATTTCTTCAAGCCACAGCCTTTAGATTGATGATGTACTTGTTTTTCTTAAATGGAAGCAGAAACAAGTTGAGGAGTTGGCAAAAACTTCCAAGCCTCACATGAGCCCCTCATGCAGACTGGTGTCGTTTCAGCCTTACAAAATAGTGGCAAATATTCATGTGGATGGGTTTTCAATTCTGCTGCATAATTTTTGAGTTTACACATTCAACAAAATTGTACGTATCACATTATGCTGTAAGTGGTAAGCATCTCACTCTGTATATGGAATTAACATATTCAAATCTCAATTAGTATGATTGTAAAAATATGTTTAGCCTACTTTTCACCCCCCAAATTCCTTCAATTTTACTTATAAACAGTTGACCCTCAGAAGAGCCATAAGAGAAGTGTAGGTGTTATTACGTACGCTGTAAACCCACTTCCTTTGCGCCGGCGTTGCCTGTAGCTTGCAGCAGCTGAAGCATTTTGCGCGTGAGCGCGGGAGAAGGGGCTGCGGAGTGGTTGCAGGGAAGTCAGTAATGGTTTATATCTGCCACGGAGAGCTCAGGTTGCAGAGCTCGTGTTCGTGGGGGCAGGGGGAATCATACCTAGCAACAGAGCCTGCAGTGCCTCCCGCTCCGTTAGCCGTATGGTTACAGACAGTGCAACTACTTCTGTTTTCATTTTCGTGGGGTTTTATATGGCTGTCTAGAAACCGTTGATTTTACTGTTTCTGAGCTTTAAAGACTTGTCCTCATATTTGGTACAGTTCAGTGTCTTCAACTTCAGGAAGAGAAATTGTATCTTTGAAGGGCTCTCCAAGCCTGGGTGATTTACAATGGACAGAACTGCAAAATATATTTTTAAGATTGAATTCTTTATGGGGATAAGACAACTTTCTTTAGCTTCATGTGTCTGCTCAAGCATCTGAGCAACATCAGTCTCTCATTATTCCTGTGTAGTGACTACTTACTTCTGTGGATTAGCAAGATCCACTTGCACACGTCAACACTTTTAAGGCAACTGTGTGTAACTGGGCTGTACATAAAGAACCTGTCTAACCCCTTAAGAGGTTTGTCATGCAACATTTTCAGCTAACAGATCCTTAGGATTTATAAATATCTTACCATGAATGCTCAAAAAGCTTCCCAGAAATCAGTGGATTTGTTTTGCTTAGTGCCCAGGTAGCTTTAGCTGCGGTAGTGCTGAATGCCACTGTTCATTAGTACCGTTGTAGATTCCTCCATAATTGGCTTTTCTGAGTATCATCAGTGCAGTCCGTGGTGGGAAAGAGAATTCAACTCTGTTCTTCTTAAGCCTTAAGCTGGCAGCCTAGCCATTTGACCAGTCTTCTCCTAAAACTTGAATATTTATTCAATATTCCATTTTTATGTCTATACTCCTAGTGTTTATTTAGGGGGAAGAAAACAAAAACCAAAAAGAAAATCATCCAATGTACTTGAATAATGTTTATCACGTATTGGATACCTGAAGTTGATACGACTGATAGAGTTGGGTAGGGTGGATTATAAAGTTGCTGTGGTATGAAAATAAATTGTTTCCCGTTGCGTTTGTTGAGTGTGAAAAGGTTCCCCATACATATACAGAGCATTGTTTTCACTTCTTACACTTATGCTGCATCTGTACAGTGAAGCTTTTGGTTTGTCTACAAAACCCAAAACTACAGAGCAGCCATTGGCAGGTTTTCATCTGCAGACAGGTGGGGGGCAGAGGGGTGTCTTACTCAGCTCTTCATCAAAGGAGGGGCTAAAATGTATATGGAGTTATTTTAAGGCTTTGGAAAATATTTTAGCTTTACGTTTCAGTACTTCATTTCTCAGTAGAAATAATATACTTTAATGAATTAGTATGTGACTAATCATTTTACGTTTCAAAACAAGAAAAATTACGGTTTTGTGGAGGTACGTCTATACTAGCTGGCAATTTTATGTATAATATATGTATTTTTATATACACACACACAAAATATAATTCAAGTTGTTGAAAAGTTTGGCAGGTTAGTAAATCTTACGCTTTAGACCATCATTTAGTATTTGGAGATTGTACAAACCTGTGATTTTGTAGTATTGTGTGAGTGTTTCCACAGTTTGTGATTTAAAACATGCTTTTGTTGGATCTGACACTATTACTGCATCAGCGTTAGGCCTCTGTTTGTGTCACAGTGTACGTGAAATTACAGTAACTAACGCACAGTCGTGTTCATCGAGTAGCAAATGCCATTTAATTGCTGCCTAGCTTTAGAAAGAAGTTATTGGAAGTGCTGCTCCGTAGGATTTTGACTCTGCATGCTCATCATCTCAGCTCTTTGCTCTTCTTGGGTTTGAGGTCAACTCCTTGGTCTCATTTGTCCTCATAATACCATATGCCATACAGAATGTCTATATTGGTGTTACCTGAATAGAAAGAAAATAACAAGTGTTTACAGTTTTAGAAGAAATGTTTTATCAGTTCTCCTATTCCCAGAATTTTTTCCGAACGTTCTTTTGTAACTAATTCTGTGGAGTCGGAATCATCTGTTTTTCAGAATACCAGCGTCTTGTTTACTGATTTTTATTCTTTTATAGACTTAGCTGAACTGAATGACTCACAGCAGGGTTGAAAATCATCACATGCTTTTATCATCAACATGCATCCCACGCAGAACGCATGTGTACATCCCGTGTACGTTACATGGGCTTTCATTGAGCTAAAGCTTACGGCCCGACTTGTGTCTTCTTTTCTGAGGTTACACAAGCTGGAGGAAATCATATTTGATACTTTCAGACCAAGAAGGTGGTTCAGATTGGACGGGGTTTACAATCACTAGAGCAGGATCTCTCCAGAAGCGATAAAACGCCGTCAGTCAGCCGTTCAAGTCCCAGTCTACCTGAATGGCAATAATGGCCCAAGCGTTGAAGGGCTGCGACCCGCCCCGTGCCACCGGGAGCTCCGGGTGCGTTCCCGGGTGCGTTCCCGGCCGTCAGCGCCGGCTCTGCCTCCTGAGGCTCTGCGGCCGTCGTGGGCTACGGGCGATGGCCAGACCTCACAGCTTCCCCTGGGCCACCAGCCCTGGTTCTCACCAGAGCTTTGCTTGAAGGCTCCACAGAGCCCGTATGGTTCTGTAGGTAGTTTCTGCTAAGAAGAAGAAATCGTGTGATGTCGTCACTAAGTATAGTATCTATTTTAATGAGCTAAGGGTAGTGCCTAGTTTAAGTGTTGTATCTGGTTTATGTGTGGGCAAATTAATTGATAAAGTTGCTAAGTGCCCTCTACCAGTGAAACCGAGCAGGGAGGAAGAAGAGAGCTTCGCTGGGGCCGTGCCTCCACCCGGATCCTCGGACAGCCTCCTGCCCTGCGGCAGCTGAGATCATCTGATGTGCTCTGGCCAGGAGACGTGCGAAGGGAAGGTCTGGGACCTCTTCCCAGACCCTTTGCCAGCATTAAGGACTATCCAGTGAATCAGCTCCCCTGTTGTTCTGGTGCAGGCTGGACCCACTGCCCTCCAGGGCATGGTGCAGAGCTCAGCTGGGCACTCGGACTTCTCGGACGGGAGGGGGGCTGTGGTTTACTCCTGTGTTTTGAGGACTGCAGTTAGCGTAGCCTTGGGATTACCAAAAATCTGCATGGCTTCATCTGGATTCTCAGACTTGCCGATGTGATTGTATTTACAGCAGATTCAAATAAATGACAGGCTGACCCATTTCATAACGTTTATTTTAACCTTCTGCCCAGAAATGGTAATAGTTTTACATGAGGAAAACTGCTGAGCCCTGTCATAGGATGTGTTTAAATTACTCAATTTGAAAAATGTAAGATGCCCTTTGATACAGCGCAGAGGGGTTAGGAGAAAATTTACCAAAGAGCCAAATAGTGGCTTTGTCTGAAAAGCCCTGAGAAACATCCTGCAGCCGAACATCTTACACTTACTCTTATTTCATGCAACTTACCTCGTGTGCACTTTGCATTCTGGCTATTAGTCCCAGATTGCTGAAGTCTGACATAATGGCAGCGTTTCTGGGTTCATTTCTCTTAACTTATACGGGGATTCAATTTTATCTGTGTCTTTGGTTAGATTATAATGTTGAATAGGTGATGTCTTAAAAAAGATGACACGTCATTAATGAAAAATAAATTGCTAGCATCACTGTAGAGAGATTGTGTAGTCACTGCATTTGAAACTCTTTTGCCTATCCTTTTCTCTACGAAAGTTTACATGGAAAAGCATGGATCTCTTACATTTTTCAGAATCGATCTGTTCTTCTTGTTCGTTCCTACCCAAAACGATAATCCTGCAGTATTCACAGGAAGCAGCTATAAAAACACATGTAAAGAGGATTGTTGCTTTAGGCGAGGTACTAAATAAAAGGAGAAGTTCCTGTCTTGATGTGAGGTTTCATTAAAATAGAAAAAATAAAAGAGGAAACAAAAAAAAAACCACCCCACATAATGTTTGTCATTCTGATTCCAAGTGAGTGCTTTCCAGGATTTTCCTTTGCTTGTCGACATGTCTTTCCATTTATGATTGGAAACCTTATTATTACAGTAGAAAGGTAACAAAATGTAATTGCAATACTGGGCATCTCTTTAAGAACGGAAAAGGATGCGAGAAGTGTAAATCACTTTGGAAATCAAGGAGTTACGGTACGTTGATGCTATCACTAGTGGGCAACTACGTGTTAAATTTAGGTGGGCTTCTGAAAGGTATTGAAAGAATTAGAGAAGTCTCATCTCTATGATAGCATGCCATTCTTTGTATGGATTAAATACTTCGGGACTGCCAGACTTGGGGAAGTTTTGTCACATGGTGAGTGGACTTGATTTTGACGTCAAGTTTGTGACGAACTGTTATGTGTTGTCTGTTGATAAGAGAGTTGCTGATCAGTCCTTGGTGAAGACGGGCTTCTGGTACAGCACTGGGGGGTCGGACGTCACGCTCCCCTTGTGCTGCAGTTCTAGGCCAATGTTCATACGTAGTGACGAAGGCCATCGCCCTGAATGGGTTCACTGGAGAAAACCAGATTGTTTTGCTGTGAGGTAGATCGAGTACAAGCTTGTCACCTGCCTCTACAACCACCGCTGCTCTTGAGTGAAGCGTGCAAAAACTTGGATTGAGAATTTTTGGATAGTTAAGACACGTAACTGATTTTCATATTCTTATTTCTCAGGCAGAGAATGAATCTACCCTGTATGTACGAGCAATGCAAACATATGCTCATGGTTGCCCGAGAGCTATCACGGCTTCAGGTCTCATATGAAGAGTATCTCTGCATGAAAACGTTGCTTCTCCTCTCCACAAGTAGGTGAACAGTTAAATACCTATGTGAACAACGTAAGTTTAACTTGCCAGTGTTCCGAGTGTGCGTGTGTAGTTTAATACTGTGTGAGGTGTCTGATAGCAAATAAAAGTCAAAATGTTTCACTTGGCACCTGACTATGTGAGGTTAGTGGAGGAAGTTTTGCGTTTAGCAGATACCAGACATTCGTGCTAAGATCTCATGGATTGTGTTCAAAACTTTGCAACTCCAGCAGAGGCACCTAACTCAGAATTGCAATTTAAAATTCTTCAAAAATGCATCACAAACTGGCTGAGTGGTTCAGGACCCAAAGAAACGGGCAAAGCTATGACTTCATGCTCATGAAATACTTTTTAAAACTAAACCAAACCAAACAAACAACCCAACAAAAACCTAAATCCCAAAACAAACAAACATAAAAATCGCCAAAATCACACCACCACCACCTGTGAGGAAGTTCTAATCCAGTTAAGCAGTTTCCAAAAAAAAAAAAAAAAAATTACCAAACTCCCCCAGAAGTTATTAAAAAACTGTTAAATGCAACTGCAGCTTTTTGTATATGCATCTAAAAAGTATGTGGTGGGATGCTGGATTTCTGACATACATCATAAGCTAGATTTATATAATATACTGCATGGGGGGTTTATGGCTTTCAATAGGATATGCTGTGGTTAAGTCACAGCTTAGTGTCTGTACTGCATGAAAGGTCAAAGAACAGGGTGAAAATAGTCCTTTTAGAATAAGCAGAAATGCCCTGAAATGAGACATTATGTAAATAACTTTTACAGTGATGCTTGCACCTCATGTTTGTACTCATTGGCACCTGCTGGTTTTTTCCTCTTGGTGCACGTAGGGCTGTAGCCCCCGAGGGAGCTCCGTTGCCATCCAGGGACTCGGAGCAGTAAAGAGTGTGTGAGTGTGTGTGCTGTGAGCAGGTGTGAGTTGGGCACCTCACCCAGCCCTGCTCAGCCCATCCAAGTGGTTGAAGCGGGTGTCTGTCTGTCTGTCCTGGAGGAATCCCATCCCGGGGTCATCACACCGATACCCACGGTCCCGCGGGACGGAGAGCTGATGGATGCAGCGACGGTAGTTTTCCTTTGCTTGACAGATTAATTTTGCTTTAGTGTAGTGACAGCTGTGCCAGCATGCTTTAAAAGTATCAGGAAGAACAACAATGCAAGTAAATATTTTTCAGCATAGTACTTTGACATGATGAAAAGTAAATATTTTTAAAAGTTTAACCAGCTTGTTACAGCGAGAGCTCAAACATTCCTTATCTTTAGTATTTCCAGCGAATAATGACATTAATTCTTGTACACAGATGAGAACTGGGTAGCTTTGGGCTGTTCCCCAGTGAAGGCAGGAGGATCGTGTATGCCAGCGGAGCTCGGGGCAGGGAGAGAGGTGTGGGGCAGGGATGGCCCCGGGATGGCACCGCCTCGCCTGCCGAGCCCACGGCTGGGACAGGGCTCTTCTCGGGGGAAGTCTCGGCTCCGCGCTGCCGTGGGCTTTGTAGGAACTTGAAACTTCCCCGAAACTGCAGATCTAAAGCAGTTTCTGAAATCTCTCCCAAAAATTCCTCAAGTGTTTTGGGTGTGGTGTAAGCCAACTTTCCTTACAGGAGTTGGAAATTTCCTTGAAGGAATTTCAATGGTGAAGAGACTACACGCGTGGAAATGAGCTCATTCAAGAGTGAGGCATGGCAGGCACGGGCAGTACCCAGCAGAAGGCCTCTTTGCTAGGTTTATAGCAAAAGAGAGTTTATTTTCATGTTTCTTTTTGAGTACATACGCTGTGGAAGTGGTACGTTGTGGAACTTCTGAAAATTGAAGAGCTGGAATTTGTATAGCTTTTTAATCCACGACTTCATGATTTTAATTTATGTTTATGATGTTTCTGTGTAAGTTTTCCAAGAAAAGAGGAAGAATAGGAGGAGTAAACCAGGAATCCCTTGTGGGTCTAGACACGTAGCTTACACATAGGGGTAGCTCACAGACCTTTTCCATTTAAATTATTGAAGCAACAGTTGACATGTTGTCATCTCCTGTGTAGACGAGGCAGAGGAGATGCTTCACTCCAACATCTCACGGATGCTGACAGTGTAGTGAGAGCTGGATTTTTTCAGGAAGGAAGTGTGCTTTAGTGGCCTCTCTCCTCTCTTGCTGTCAGCCAGCTTTGCCTCAGCTTGCTCTCTTCTCTGTCTTCAGATCTTTCCATTCACTTCACCAAGGTAATCAAAGGCTTCAAATCAAGCATCTTAAGGACCGCTGGAGTCCATGTGCTGGATTTGTCTGAATTTATTTACTAGTCCTTGGCCTCCAGAAGGACCATCTTAGTAGGAGAACGTAGGCACAGGGACTGAACATGGATTTGAGTCTGACTGAATACGGGCCTTAGGCCCCACATCTTGGGTTTCTAACCAACAACTCCGAGTCTGTCTGGCGCTGTCTCAACGTCCCATCCCTGTTCCAAGAAGCTCTGCTGAGACCCGGGTCCTGCCTGCCTTGGGCAGTCGGTTTGTTGCCCAGTCTCCGTTACTGCCTTGCCTGGGCGCGTTATTTGATCCACATCAAGACGCTTGGAACTAGGTGATCTTTCAAGGTTCCTTTCGAGCCAAGCCATCCTGTGATCCTACCCTTGCTCTTCCCTTGGCACACAGAATTTTTATGGAATCTTCCCAATGTCACATTTCCCCGGACAGAGGGGGAGAGGAGAACAGAGGAGCTCTGGCCCTGGTGCTCCTTCATCAAGGCACTTCCAGGGCTTGGTGTTGTTGTCTCCATGTTTTGATTCCCTTCCCTCTATTTCTTGTTGCGTTACCTTTGGGGTTTTTTGTTATTATCTTTATTTTGCAGCAATCCCGTGCTATTTGTTCAGTGAGTCATCCGTCTCGCTTTTCGCTCTCTTTCGTTGTGTCTCAGCTGTCCTTTCATTAACTTTCAGTCCTTTTGGTCATTTTTGTGTAACTAAGAGAACCTAAATAACGACACAGTTCATAGCTGTATGATGTCTTAAAGGCTCGTATCAATGTTGCAGTTCCTAAGGAAGGCCTGAAGAGTCAATCCTTGTTTGAAGAAATCCGTATGACGTACATTAAAGAGCTGGGAAAGGCCATAGTGAAGAGAGAAGGGAACTCCAGCCAGAACTGGCAGCGATTTTATCAACTGACTAAACTGCTGGACTCTATGCATGATGTAAGTTCTTAAATGAATGCTGTAGACGTTCCAGATAAGTAAGTTTGGGGCTATGAGAGTAATCTCCTCTATCCTTTTTTTTATTTAAAGGGATAAGGGATAAGTATGGGGGCAGGGAGGAGGTCGTGCTCCCCTACTAATTGAGAGGGGTGAACGTGGTGCGTTCAGACTACTTCTGCAGTGAGCTCCACAGCAATTAATGTTATAATTAATGTAATTTTCAGTCTCTGTAGTTTTTAGAAATGATGTTGCTTTGAAATGGAGGAACTCTGAAATTTTAAATGATTTTGCAGCAGTAGCAGAGATGTGAAGTTTAAAACCAGTATTACCCCAGAGACAAAACTGAATTTATGCTGTCGTTTGAAATCACGTTAAAATAATGCATCAGTGCTGTTGTTAGTATTAGTAGCAGTCTAATTTTGCAAGGAATTTCAGAATTCAGGCTGTCTCCTTTTGCAGGATGTACTCTAAATTGTGCGTATCATGAACAAAGGAGTCGAAGTAGCGTTTAAGCTGCATAAGGCAAGGGAACCTTAGAGACCTCAAAAGGATATTTTTTTTTTTTCTTTTTTATTGCACAGAGCACTGGGAAGGATCTCATTAAGCTTATCCATGTGTGTGTTATTTGTGTGCAAGAAGGGGAATTGATAGAAAATCTCTTCAGTGTTTGTAAAGACCTGGCACGGTCTGTTTACTTGTGTTGTATCAGGCTGCTGTTGACAAGAGTTACTGGTTAAAGTGGGACTGGCACGAGGTGTTGCCGGGGGCACCGCGCTGCCCTGCGCCGCCAGCGGCTCCGAAGGAGGGTGGGTGCTGGTTACCAGTGCTCCTCTTGTGTCTTCGTCTGAAAGTAACTGTTTGCTTCATCACTTGTAGGTGGTTGAAAATCTTCTGAGCTTTTGCTTCCAGACCTTTTTGGATAAATCCACGAGTATTGAGTTCCCAGAAATGTTGGCAGAAATCATCAGCAATCAGATACCAAAATACTCCAACGGAAATATCAAGAAGCTCTTATTTCATCAAAAGTGACTGCCTTAATACAAAAGGGTTGCCTTAAGAAAACGTCAGATTGATAGCTTTTTTTTTTTTTTTTGTAAAGAGAAAAACCTACCAGACTTGTTAATTCTGTCCTTGCAGCAGTGTACCTTTTGTAACGATGCACTACATGTGGTTTAAAGAGGGCCAAGATTTAGGCTATAGCAGCGGCGGATTTCTCACATTTGGTAAATAATTGGGGAGAAAGGAAAGGAAAGTAAATCTCATTTGTCAGAAATTGTATCTCTCCCTTCGTGCAACATCGGCGGATGCATGAAAACCACCGGCGACAAGCTCTGAGGCTGTGTTACGAACATTCTGCTAATTAATTTCTGCAGTTGGCTGGAGACAATTTTGTAGGCTTTTTTTTTTTTTTTTTTAAGTAAAGTGTTTTGGATTTTTTTTTTTTTAAAGTTAAGGTAGCGTTTTGGTTTATGCATGTAACCTGAAGAAAGTTTACAAGTGTATATCGGAAAAGGGAAGTTGTGCCTTTTATAGCTATTACTGTCTGGTTTTAGCAATTTCCTTTAACTTTATATACCGTGAACTAGGCTTGTTCATTTTTTCTTACATAATTTTTTTGTAATACTTCAAGATGCCTATTGTACAGCTGGTTTTTTAAGGTGGGGCAGCTCGTAGCTTTCCTAAATGACCTCTAGACAGTAATCCTTGAGTATATCCATGTGAAAATGGGTTGGGCTTTTCTAACCTAATAGCTTTCACCTGTCAAAGTGACCATAAAAATTTGGCATTTTTTAAGGGCCAGGGTGGGTGGGAGAACACTCCCAAATCTAATTTAAATAGATGCGAATGAAACAAATACTTTTGGTATATGTGCAAAAGCGTCGGATATGCAGATTCATAGAAAATTTACTCAGTCCTAACCGGATGTAAATGAGCAGGTTCTTTTATATATTGAGAAAAACAAGCCTGATTTTTGCATATAATGCAACAGCCATAACTAGAAGAGTCATGGGCTGCATTGATGCCAAGAAGATCAGTCCTGACTGCCCATCAGGAAATTTTCAGGAAAATATGCATAGCTTAGGAAAAGTTTACTTCTGTGTGGAGAAACTCACATTTTCTATACACTTAAGTCTATCATCATACAAGTATATATATGAAAAAAATACCATTGACTTAAGAGGCAGACGTGAAATTACGCCCAGTGGTTCGGTTTCGTTCTGTTTTCTCGTATCGATTCCAGGAATCTTCTCCTCGGTGAGACGCCCAGCGCCGCGCGGGCAGCGAGGCAGAGCAGCTGTGCCAGCGGCCGGCACCTCTGGATACCCAGGCTCCAAACTGGTGTGGTTAGAGACCCATTTTCACGTCTCCACCTCTCACTGACTGGTTCGTCCTCTTTCCTGGAGAGCAGGAAAGCTCCGCTACTGATTCCGTGGTCTTAGAGTCGTACGTCAAACTTTCTGTCTTTGTAAGGCTGCGTCCCTTCATATCGAATTCCTGGCGTGCCATAAAGTTCCCATAGGTCTTGTGAATTTCTCCTTGTTGCCATCGAGAACTATATTTTAAAACGTTTAGAAGCTGTAGTAGCCTTTTCTACGTGCACCTTAACAATTTTCTGTATCTCAAAATTTAAATATTTACTAAGCCACTCTAAAATCTGATTTTTACTCAAAGTGGCCAGATTATTTGTGTAATAGAAACGAGAAAGATCATCTGATAAAATACAAAACCTAATATATTTTTATATTTAGTTATAGTTTCAAATATGTATAATTGGTATATTCGCTGATCTGAGAAAAGAAGGGAAGGGCTACTGCAGCTTTAAAAGCAATTTATTAAATGATTGTAAAATAGCTTGTATAGTGTATAATAAGGATGATTTTTAGATGACAGATTGCTTTATCATGATACATGTAATTATATTTTTTGTAGGGCTCACAAACACGCTGAATGGTAACCCGTACAAGTTGTGGTTTGTCTGGAGGTAGTACTGACGGCGTCGGTGTTTAGTATCCAAAGAAGTACTCTGTTTAGAAAGGAAAACCTGTGTTCAGTGGGTGTTTTTTAGGGTTGATTTTATGTTTATCGAATCACTGTGTAAAAATTCAAGTTGGAGCTTGGACAGAATACTCCTATCTGTATGGTTGGTTACCATTCACGAGTCATTGCTAAATCAGACCTCCGCTGCAAAATACGGAAGCCGGAAAGATGCGTGTGTGCACGTGCACACGTACACCTCTGAACACGCGGGGTTAATTTCATATACAGCCTCACGTACCACAGCAAGAACAGCTTTGAAAAATTTGGCAATAATACACATACAGGTACCAGCAATATGTAAATAAAGAGCATAGGTTGTTCACAACACACTAGTACCTTTCTATTGTTCAGCAAAAGTTTGTTTCCGAATGAAACAGGAAACTAAATTTTCATCCTTTCTTAAATCTCTTTTTGAATGTTATACCTATTAAAAAAAAAAGATACTATATTCAGTACTTTGGAGTAAAACGTCATCTTTAATAAAAAGAAAAAGTAATCATTCTCCTCTCTTTCAATGATCTGTAAAGAAAATGTACATTTTGTAGCACTTAAGGTAAAGTTCAGTATTTTAATTACAACTTCCAACCCATCTCAGTGGGAATATTCACGCGACCCGTTGGAGATACAGATAGGAGTGTCGGACTGTTTGGTTCCAGGTGGGCTCTTCAGTTAAAAGGAAAACTGTTTTTACTTTAGAGAATGTTTTTAAAAATTGCATCCCCAGATACCTCAATTTGAGCTTGTGTGGAAGGG